GAAAACAATATGAACTTTTTTTTTGGGGTAAGTCAAAGGACTTAAATGTCCACACCATCAAAATGAAGATATAAAGTTGACTTCCAGTAGCTGAGATAGCACAACATTTAGAAAGTCAGATATAACTACTTTTGTAGGAAAAACTCTTTTAGGGCATTTGTTACAGAGCAAGAATTCATATTAGTTACAGCTTTCATGTTTTAGGTCATGGTAACAAGTTTAATTTAAAAAGTGGTTACTTTTGCCTTATAGTAGCTGCAGCTTTAGCTTACACAATGTGATTGAGACAATGTTTGCAAAGAATTTTTGCTATTGCAGGATTTCCTTCTAGGTGTTTTATAGGTATGTCCTATCTGCTTTTGAGGTTCAAAGTAATAAATTTTATCTTGCAATTCAGGTGGCTAAGAGCAAGCACCTGGTGTTTTAAGACAGCTGAGCCCGTAGTTAAGCACTTCAAACACCCAAACTCCATTGCATTTAATTACACATCTGAATTTTTCTATTCCAATTTACCTGTTCCAACCAAAATTACTTCCACTATATTGCAGCTAAGTGAGAGATGAATCTGGTCCAAAAATATTTAAAATGGAAATGTCTATCCGTTCCAATATGCTATTCTAGAAATTGTGCTTTGTGCTGACAAAATTGAGAGAAAAGGTAACCCAAAGAGTCTTCCTCGGTGGCTCAAAAAGAATGTTATATTTTCCTTACAACACAAACTAAGGAAAGAAGCCAGCTGGTTCTGAGGTAGGACTTGACATCAGCAGAAACAGCAACCTCAGATTTACAGTGCATATTGCAACACCTGATTCTTTCTTCAAGTTCTACCTTCTGAGGTGAATCAATTCTGGGAACTATGTCATTTAACAGAAAAAAGAAGGGTGAATTTCTGGTCCTGCAGGCTGTGAGAAAACATTTGAAAAGCTAGCCTACAACAGAATGGAGCTGTTGTATTTCTGGCAGGGTTATAACCCACGTCCCTCTCCTTCCCTGCCACGAGAGCAGCTCCTTCATACCCCTGTAACTCTCCCTTTTCTCAGAAATGTCCTAGTTCCCTTTCATGGCCACTTGGTCCACCCCCAAAACAAGCTCAAATCCCATCCTGCTCCCTATCTATTTTCCTGGGCTGCTGGCCCAGCAAGGGATGACACACTGTAGATGGTGCAGAGCTATCGGCGTGCTGACTAATGACGAAGCAGCACCCGCTGATTGGCTAATTAGAGGCTGCCAAAAAGAATGGGTAATGGTTGGGCTCCATTTGCCTTCTCCTTAGGGACAGCATTAGTAATCTCCTTTTCCTCTACGCAGTCACAGTTTTTCCATAAAACTTGCAGAAACACAGTGTCTTTGAAACCTCTATATTGGTCAGATTTGTTGGGGGTGGGTTTGGGTTGTTTGGTTTTTTTCCCTTCTTTTATTTTTTTTAGGTTTTCCAACAAGTACAAAAGCTCCTGCTGGAAAGGGGAAAGGAGAGAAGTTGACAGGTAGACAGATGTGTGCCTTTTTCCTTTAGAAAGGAACATTCTTACATTGCTTGATTTTGGGGACCTGAGCCATGATCTTTGAATAGCCAGGATTGGGAATACTATTCACTATTGGCAGACACAGCGGGTAGAATGACACAAATCCCAAAGATAATATTAAAATGCCATAAAGTTCAGTAAGATGTGCATTTCATTTTTAACTCTTCTTTAGTTTTGCTGCTGATAATGAGTTGGTTTTGTTCTTTTTTTATTTTTATTTTTTTTCTAAATAAATTTTTGGAAGAACTTTTACCTGTTCACTTTACCACTTACTTTTCTAACCTGTCACCTACATCTGCAGTCATTGCTTTCCAGAAACACTATGATGAAAGTCAGACAGAAAAACAATTTGCATATTGTATTATTAATATCAAAGAAATGAGATCCTTCAGTAGCTCCTGATAGAAGTGCAAGTTCTTACACTTTCTTCCAAATTCTTGCAATTTCATAGAAAAGAAAAAGCCAGCAACAATAAAAGACTAAGAGAAAGGTATTCTGCTAACAGCCTAGAGTTATTCAGAGTACGTGGACATGAAATGCATTTTATGAGGGAAATGGAAAAATATTGCTCGGGGCTAAGCAGCTGCTGGTGAATTCTGGGGCACTTTTGGCATCCTTGGTTGGTAGTCCCTATGTCACCACTCCAGCTGCTACTGCTGCCTCCTGCCTCTAAATAGCAAGCAGAGGCACGGTGCTCAGTAGGATCTGTTTGCCACCACGTGTCACCTTGGCAGCTGAGACCAAGCTCAGCTCTTGCTCCAAGCTCACTGGGGTTTCAGGCTTACAGGAGAGGACTTTTGTCCCGCAGTCATAAACAAATGCCTCATGGAGGGAAATAAAGGGGCCCTTTTTTGCAGATTAACAGAATCATTGCAGAAGATTGGGGGAAAAAAGTAAAAAATAAAATTGAAGTTCTGCATACTCATGGTGAGCCACAGTCAGAGTGGGACGACCTTGAAGGAGCAGGAGCAGGCCAGGTACCAGCATGGCCGCTGAGCACCAGGTAAGCTGCTGCAGAGCACATTCAAAGAGGAGGCATGGTGCTGGAGGCATTGCTTTGCTGACTGCTTCTCTTGTCCCCTCTCTAACACGAGTGGCTTACAGACATGGTCTGCTAGAGCATTTAATTACTCTGATATTGCTGACTGCATCATTATTTCCACCTGTTTATTGACAGATCATCATTCTCTTTAAAACTGTTTCTGGTGTGAAACCTGGTACCTGTCAAGGTTTCCACTTCAGGGTAGATTCCCTTTTATACCCAACTGGTTAAGTAATTCTGGCTTAAAATAAAATAAAATAAAGTTTTATTATGACATTCACTGTCATAATAGTAAACAAACAAAAAAACCCCACCCCAACCTAAACCCCTCAAAATTCACCAATAGGGTCAGGGTCAGTGCTTTTCAAAAAGATTCTTACTGTGAATCACCCTATGCATCTTCCATAAAAATACATTTCCAGCACCTGAAATGCACTAAGAATCTGCTTAAAATATGTTATAGACATGACAGGCAGTCTCCACTGCAAACTCAGATCTTTCCTGACTCCTAGTTCCAGTGAACCATGAGCCCGTTTATGTTTCCACATGTTGAGAGTAGCTGCACTGCTATCTTGTGTAAAAAGTAAATGCTGAGGAGCTAAGAAGTCAAAGTGCTTGCTTTAAACATGGATTTTGGCTGAAATCAGAATATCAGGACCTCACCCTAAAGCCATAGGCCTGGAATATGAGAGTGTGATACATCTATCGCTTATATCAACTTAACACCAGGGTAGGACAATAAATTTCAATTGAATACTCATGATTTACACCATTGGTCATGAGCTGAATATTAGCAGTCCTGTGCTACACAGTGAAATTGCATGTCCTGGAGAGGTGATACAAAATAATATGAATGATCAGGTAGAAAAAAGCTCCTTGAAAGTTCTGTCCCACATCTTTCTATATAACAAGATTTTTCCTACATTAACATATGGCAAAAACCAAAACAAACAGACAAACAAAAAAAACCCCCACAAATAAACCCAAACAAAAAACCCCACATTTGCCACATTTTTAGGTGTACTCAGAATGGAAAAAGTCCTAACTTAGCTAGGTAAACTTTGGCATATTGCATGAAATTCCAGGATATCTGCTGTAATATACAGAATATCAAGATACACAAATTCCAGGTTTTCTGCTTGCTATAATATACAGCCTATAATCCCCCAGCCCTCTCACCTCCCCAAATAAGCGTGAATTCCATAATTCTTGCTAAGAGCACATCAAATATGAACTACATTGCTGCAAGATTTTTAAAAGCCATAACCTGTAAGTATAAAATAATGTCTAGATGTCTCTTTTATGCAGAAAATGTATTAAAACTGTAAAGTATATAGAGAACTTAAATATTTGAGTAGAAAGCAAAAGAAAGCATAGAAAGGTATCACTTAAATAGGCATAATACAGAGATATTTTGAACAGAAATAAAAGGTGACATGGAAAAAAAAAAGATATACTCAGAGTAGAGATTTAAATGTTTTAAGTCTTTTTATACTTTCACTGCTAATGGAAAAAGCAAACTTTATTATTTCTGTATAATATCAGAGTGAGTAGCTAAAAATATTCCTTAAAAATACCTTTGCTACTAAAGATCTCTTAATGTTTAATTTACTGCACAGGATTCTGCTGACCCAGTGATAGTATGAAGGGGGGACAGACTCATTTTTCATAATTAACTGTTAATTCAGTAAAAGATTTGTTACTTTTATATATACTATACAGGTAAGATACACATTTACATAGAGTCATACATGCACAAAATCTTTATTACTGCGTTAGCTAGTACCTAGCAGGAAAACCCATTAAGGTTTTCTGAAATATGAAGTGCTCAATATATTTCAGTTGTTGAACAACCTAAGTTAGCACTGTTTGCAATGCATTTCTAAAGTAATTTTTCCCTGCCTGCTAACAATAATCCCCTGGGATTTTCTTTTAAATAGCACAAACTTTCAAGTAAAAAGCTGGTAGAAGCCTAAAGCAAGTTTAGAGAGAGGTCTGTCTTGATTCATAGTACAAGTACATGGTTGGTATATATTGAAGAATGACAGTGCTGTCTTTCAGTACTGCTGCTCACAATACTTGGAAATATATCCTTTCACTATGCAAAAACATATCCTCAACAAAGCACCCAGATAAATCAGTTCACCCTTGGCTGTAACTAAACGCTGTCTAGTGACTTGTGATCGACAGGGCTTTACCCTCTGACAGCCAGATTCATTGTTGGGACAGCAACCAATCGTCGGGTTTGACGACATGAGCCTAATCAAACTTGGAGTATAAAAAGCCCCCTTGGAATATATAAGGTACACCAGTGTGGCAAGCTGTCTCTCAGATTGCATTTGCTTTCACGGATCTGTTTAGTACTAGAGGGAAAAGGGAAAGGGGAAAGAAAAAAAAAAAGAAAAAAAAGGAAAAAGCTGCACTGAATGTGAGATCATGCGAAAGCTAGTGATCTATGTTTATATTTACCTGTTCATGCTGATTTCAGTTGATCCGGTGGCTCTTGATGATGGTAGTCAGCCCACAGAGAACGCCGAAAAAGATGGACTGTGCAATGCTTGTACATGGAGACAGAATACAAAATCGTCCAGAATAGAAGCCATAAAAATTCAAATCCTCAGCAAACTGCGCCTGGAACAAGCTCCTAACATTAGCAGGGATGTTATTAAACAACTTTTACCCAAAGCTCCTCCACTACAGGAACTGATCGATCAGTATGACGTCCAGAGAGATGACAGTAGCGATGGCTCTTTGGAAGATGATGACTATCATGCCACCACCGAAACGATTATCACAATGCCTACAGAGTGTAAGTAACCCTGCTGCTTTCGTTTCCGCTGCTCCTCCGAGAGAGTTGTCTCCCTGCTGTAGAGCCATGCAACTCCTCCTCGGGCTCTCCCAACAGGCTGCTGGCTGAAGTTTGCTGGAGGGAGGGAGGAGAGCGTTATTTCTAAAGAATTTGAGCCAGGTTCAGACGACCGTGTTGCGATCCTTTGTTTTACTGTTCGGTTTTCGGCTCCTTGTAATGTGTATGCCCTGTAGCACTTAGGATTTGCCCACTGCCTTAGAGAGCAAAGGGAGATCTGCAGTTTAGTTGACTTCGTTATCTGCAGTACTCGGGGCGTTTCCTGTCACAAATATCAAGCACAAGTACAGATAACGAGATAACGAGATAACTATATTTTTCTGAGGGAGGTTTCACTGGCCAGTATTTTTAGAAGCAATAGATATCAGCAGAATTACAGCTTAGAGCACTAGACCTACCTAACTGCAACACGTTATAGCAAGTGCAAGTACAGAGTTAAATTCTCGCTTCTTTGCTGATCCCATAAACTAGCACCACCCACCTCTGAATTAAAACTATATATTTAAAGCAAATGTGCGTGTAACAGATTTAAATGTAAAAATGTCCATGCTATAGCAATCAGCTCCAGTAGTCGTGCCAAGGAAGAATGAAGGCATTTACTGAATGAGCAGATTCTGAGTTATCTTCCCAGTGCTAAACATCTGCTATAGCTCCTATCAAGTATCTTTTGCATGGGTAATACTATAGTATCTTATGTTCTTCATCAGCTAAAGTATTTGGCTACGGCAGCTGTTTTTTTTTAAATAACACTTACGAATATGATGTCAAAAAGGAAAAAGATGACAGGACATATAAGGCATGTTAGCAGTTACAGATATCATTACAATACACAGCTAGAATAATGTATCAGCTGCTCTAGCCAGCTAAAATTGTACACATCAATGAAAAAGTAACTTTATCTGTAAAATTTGTTAACTTATTAATTAATAAGATATGTACTGAATAGCAATATATTACTGCAGCCTTATCACAAAGTTCAGGTCTGCCAGCAGTTTTATTCCAGTCTATTACGTCCAAGGCTTTATAACTATTTTTAATTAAACTGTTACGTAATTACAGTTACTGAAGAAAAGTCATTGGACTTTATTGATCTGAGTTAATTTCTTACTTTTCTTAAAAAAACCCTTGACCTATTTCAAATGGATTAAAGAGACAGGTATGTTAAGTGGTGAGATTTATGAATGTCAAAGCCCTGCACCATTTGAGATTAGTATTACCCATTTTATCCTGGCATGGAAAGATATTGCCATGACTAGGTATGACAGCTGCATCGTAGGCTACAGGAATGAGGAACGTAGCACTGCACATGACTTTCCCATAATATTGTTCAAATGAAAAGAAAACAAAATTATCCTTAGATTAATACTCTCTTAATTATTTTTTTTCGTGTTGAGAAAAGAAATCAAAATGTTTGTGTACTTTGCCCATAGCTGCCTCTCTCTGTATGATGTGTAGCACACTAAGGCTGATTAGTAAATTAGAAATAGCTAGATCAGCATACGCATGTTGAGTCAGCTTATGCAAAGTTGCTATTCTGCATGCCTTATGAAGGTCCTCAGGAGATGACCAGCAGAAGTGAGTTGGTAGTAGTCACTGTGAGGTGGAATAGGCTGTGACCTCCTCTCCCCAGGTGTTTTTTGTTTGGGAAAGAGGCTTTTTTGCAGCTGTACAGGTCACCTACAGCACTGGTACCACTGGTCAGAACCCTGAGCATGCCAAGGACCGCAAAGGTCCTCTACAGCATGCATCTTCTCAGGATTGCCCATCATTTCCGAGTTTCAGCTGAGCACACCTCCGCTCTGCTTAGCCTACAGAGCACGAGGCACCACCTAGAATTATTTAGAAAATAATTAGCCAAACCTCATTTTAGCCTGTTCACAAAATTATAATTGGTTCCTTGTCAAATGATGTTACTTTTAGGTGATAGGATAATGACTTTGTTGACATCCATTACATTTTCTGGGGAGCATAAACCACAGAAAATGAATTAAGTTAAATCTGCTTTGTTACTGGTACTGTTTATGATATCTTGTAAGGGGGGGGCAGGGAAAAAGGGTTTATAAATGCATATTTCTTTGTTCCCTGTTCAGTAATCTTTTCTTTCCATTCATTTATAGCTGATTTTCTTGTACAAATGGAGAGAAAACCAAAATGTTGCTTCTTCAAGTTTAGCTCTAAAATACAATATAACAAAGTAGTAAAGGCACAATTGTGGATATACTTGAGGCAAGTCCAAAAACCTACAACAGTGTTTGTGCAGATCCTGAGACTTATTAAACCCATGAAAGACGGTACAAGATATACTGGAATTCGATCTTTGAAACTTGACATGAACCCAGGCACTGGTATTTGGCAGAGTATTGATGTGAAGACAGTGTTGCAAAATTGGCTCAAACAGCCTGAATCCAATTTAGGCATCGAAATAAAAGCTTTTGATGAGAACGGACAAGATCTTGCTGTAACTTTCCCAGGACCAGGTGAAGATGGATTGGTAAGTTTATTTCAAAAAAACACAATTAAATATCTTGCATTTTATTGGAAAGCATTTAAATTGTGTTTTAAGGATAAAATGAAAGCACTGGTTAGGGAATGGAAGATAACAGTTGTGTATATCCAATTCTTTCATTCCTTGCTCTCTGATCATGTCAAAATCAGTAGCATTCCTGTGCCTCCATTTCCCTATTTGAAAAGTTGAGACAAATTGCAGTACTTCAGAGGAACATTGAGAGGCATTAACTAGAAAATGTTTTGGTAATTACTGATGGATGGTACTATCAAAGTAACATCGTTTTCAAATTTGAGAGCAAATACTGCTTAATAAGCAGTTATTATACATAAAGCTAAAGAATAGTCATTAGATTCTTTCCTTGATAGGAAAGTTGCCTCCGATATTGCTGAGAAAGCAAAAGCATTTCTCCCTATTCTGTGTGTGGATATTTTCTATTAACAACAGCAAGAATTATCTGTTTATGAAGATGTGAACAGAACTTCGTAACATTAAGTTCCGTTCCTTTCAGTATGTGATAGAGGGCATCGTTCCATCTATTAGAAATGTTTGAATAGAAAAATTCTACTTGATACAATAAATGAGTCATAATGATGAGAAAGAGAATAAAAAAAAATATATGGTTTCTTTCTGTAAATATAGATGAACAAATTAAACCTGACGTGTACTTATTAAACTACAGCATTTTCCTTGTTATTTGTTTCTGCAAATCACTAATCATCTACAACCTATAAAAAATCCTGAACCTATCACAGCTGAAGCAATCAAAACCAAAAAATCCCTCCTTTTGAATAAAATATAAAGAATATTATTTTACTTTTACTTCTATGCAGTAGATCAATCTGTTTTTCATAGAATTGTAGAATCATTTAGGTTGGAAAAAAACCTTCAAGATCATCAAGTCAACTGTATTTATGAAGCTAGGTAACATTTAACTTACAGCAGTATAATGCAGTTAAAAGAACTTAAAGAAAAAACTGTGATATCTTAACTGGAGATCTAGTTACAGTACATGGATCTCCCCTACTTGAAACAGGCCACCTGGATATCATGATAAGGAACATCCTCACCATCTCCACCCAGTGCTGTGCTTTCACACATGTGGATAACCCTTGGTTATCATAATCGGTGAAAACAAACCGATTCAGCAGCAGGGCAGGGTCCGATGCACGGCTGGTAACGGGAGAGGAAATTTCTTTTCCCTCTAGCTCCTCCCCAGTGTGGGGATGCTCCTCTCACCAAGCGCCTCCCCATATCATTTACCTTTGGGAGGAGCGTCTCCAGCAGCTGGACAACTTGTAGCCGTACAGAAGGGACAAACCTGCATAACAAAGTTAGCTGGGCTGCTATTTACTTCTAATGAACAGCCTTCCTTCACGGGACAGCCCAGTCAGCACCAAACCAACACATGGGGCTGAAATCAGCGTGTGGAGGGGAGGAAACCTCGGGAACTTTTTCAAACTCGTGACTGTAAAGGTTGCAGTTGGTCACTGTGGAAACACACCTTTGGTGGGAAGCACGTGGCTCAGAGATCTGCCAAAAGTACATTCCTGGCTACAGGGCTCTTCCAGGAGTCAAAATATTAGCTGCCTCTCCAAATTCAGTACAACAAATTCAGCCCTCTGACAGAGGAGAAAGTTCTGAAGTATAAGTAACCTGCACTAGCAGGAGAAAACAGTAGCAACTATGGAATGATCCGGACAAAAAGCCTTCCTTGATATCCAGAAAGCCTGATTTTAATGGAGGGAATTTCAGAAGGACTCACAAAGGGAGACCAACACCAGATAGTCCTGCCCTTGAAAAGTTTTTGGGGTTCTTTGTTTCCTTTTGGGAGTTCTATAGAAAAAAAAAAAAAGTAGCTCTTTTATGGGTTTTAAAACAAACAAAAGCCACAGCAAAAGTAAAAATTCTCAAAATTTCTGAAACCTTTTAGCATTTAATAGAAATGATGCTAGTACTGAGATGATGGTGATTTCAGGAAAAGATACTCAGAAATTAAAGCTCTTTATAGAGAAACAGCAAGGAAATGCTGGTCCTCAGCATGAGAAAGGGGAATAATCCTTGAGCAGAGATCAAATGTAGCAGAGATTTTCAGGAGGACAAAGTTTTGTTTGCAAACATTATTTGAGGATATGAATTTGATACATCTATGCCTGAAATATTATATATTTGCATGTTTTTACTGAACATAGGCTTACCTCAGTAATGCTTCCGATTCCTTCTCCTCTCCTCCCAGAACCCATTTTTAGAGGTCAGAGTTACAGACACACCGAAACGGTCACGCAGAGATTTCGGCCTCGACTGTGACGAGCACTCAACAGAATCCCGGTGTTGCCGCTACCCGCTGACAGTGGATTTTGAAGCTTTTGGATGGGACTGGATTATCGCACCTAAAAGATACAAAGCAAATTACTGCTCTGGAGAATGTGAATTTGTATTTTTACAAAAATACCCGCACACTCACCTCGTACACCAAGCAAACCCCAGAGGCTCAGCAGGCCCTTGCTGCACGCCCACCAAGATGTCCCCAATAAACATGCTGTACTTCAACGGGAAGGAACAAATAATATATGGCAAGATACCGGCCATGGTTGTAGATCGCTGTGGGTGCTCATGAGATCGCCGTTATATCCACCACTTCAGAAATTGTGGAAGCTACCAAAAAAAAAAAAAAAAAAAAGTAAAAAAAAAAAAAAAAGTAAAAAAAAAGGTTATACCCCCTCACCAGTCTTTGAAACTGTGAAGTTACGTATGTTAGGCATTGCCGACATCCTCTGGGCTGCACGATAGGCTATTGTACAGAGGTAGTGCAGCACCAACTTCAGAACGTGAACTAAAGGACAATACAGTTACCTAATGGCTGGCTTTGAGCCAGTGAAAAAGATGCTACAATCAAAATCACCGGATTTAACACACGAAGTTCTTACATTGTGAGGGAATCAATATTCAGTCATTCATATGCAAATTATATGCAGGTTTCAATACATGTTGGTAATCAAAAGCAAGCTCCTTCTCATCTGAGGACAGAAGGAATGGGCTTTTAAGTCCATTTCTTCACAGCTTCACTTAATATTGTATTTACAGAAAAATATATACTGGTTAACATATACACCACAACACAATACCACCAGAATAATCCTTAAACACTTGAATATATACTGCAAAATTGTGAAATGTATCAGATGAAATTCCACATAAATGGACAAATCCTGAAATTAGGGATGGCACAGTGTATTTAGCATGTTTCCATTCCTTTTTCTCATTAGTATGTTAGTAATCAATGGCAATGGTGCTACATAAGAAGGCTGAGTAAATAGAAAGATAGTTATCTAAGTGAAAGAATTTTGACTATTAATGAATTTGCCCTATCCTCAGGTACACTATTCAACATTCGCAAGAAATAGGTATTTTTTAAACGAAAGGGAGTAGTTTTCTAGATGTAGTAAAACAAAAGGCAGCAGAGAAGTCTAACATTCAAATCATAATCCCACACTATAACCTGCCTCTGCAACATTACCATTTGCACTATAATAAACCAATGCAAATAGTTGGTTGCTACAGATATTGTTTAAAAAACCACTTTGATATAACTGACTTGTGTAATATGTATGCATCAATATTTTGTAAATAAATGTTTATTTTTTAATCACTGTTGGTATATGTTCATTGCAAGAAAAGAATGACTTTAACCTGTACTTTAGTTTAATAAACAAAAAATAATATTCTCTTCATAATATAATTTTCTGGGTTTTAACACAAATAATATGTAGGAACAATGCAACAAAGTAAAGCATATGTTGAGAATTACACTACATTTTGTACGTTTTTTACATTGGTATGAGCCATCTGTGATAAATGATGGGTGTTGACATGTTTATAAGTTTCTTTGAGTTACTGTTTTATGGTCATTTTGAGCCACAACTGAATTTCCACACTTTGAATGTTACGTCCATAAATAATGATGATGCCACAAAAGATTGCTATTAAATGCATTTTATTATATTTAAAAGTTTGCAGCAAAGTAATCTTATTTGAGTAAACATAGTACATGGATTTCCACACAGATTCTGTACAATTTCCGTACAATAAGAAGTTGTTAATTGAAATTAAAAAATTCTCTTTACTATAAAGTCCAGTTCATTTCACATGTGAAATACAACTGATAAAACAGGCATTTGTTAAGCCAATACAATTACTGTTAAAATATCTTCATGTTAATGTGATTCTAGAATGCCGTTTCCTTTGTGTAAAACCACCCTAAAATGGCAAAAATGCTCAGTTTTCCTTCCATACATTTCCTTCTCCTTTTATACATTTCCTGCCTAGGTGGTAAATATTTTATATTGAGTTTTCTACTTTTTTTTTTTTATTTGTAAGGACATTAAAGTTTGAGCGATAAGGTTTGAAACTTAAAAGCAAACAGACTTTCTACAATTTCTTTTGAATGATCAGGAGTTCTGCTAAAGCTGTGTCTGAGCGTCAAGCAGATGTTCAGCTTCTCCTGATGTAGTTCATCAGAGCAGGTCTCTGGGGCCCTTAAATACACTTTCAATTTAGTTTCCCACAAAACACAATCAGAGCAAATAAAAGATAATTTAAAAAGACTTAGAATACAGAGTCTTGGTGAAGCCACGAGAAGTAAAAGCACAACGCAATCCCTTTTTCTCCAAAACCCAAGCTTAGAGAATTAGTGGAGAAATCCTGGGTTTGGTGAAGTTAACAGCAAAACTTCTGCTGGCTTTAAGGGAGACCAATGTTTTGCCCTTTGACTTTTAACTTGTGACATTCAGGCACCAGATAGTCCCTGCTCATTTGAACTATCATTAGTATCTCTCTGCAGGAGGCATACCAAAAGCCTCATAAACTGTTCAGAGACTTTAAATGAACTTCCATTGTATACCAGGTAGTTAGACCTTCACTAGCTTTAATTGGGTCAGTTCATACAGCAACAGCCACAGAGACGTGGCAGCATGGATTCTGGAGCTGAGAGCAAACAATATCTTCCCAGTCTGCACCAAAGTCCTGATACAACACCTGCATGATTATTTTTACTCATAATAGCTAAACTAAAACTAATGCAAATTCAGTTACTCCTATATAAGTGAGATCACTGACTGCCTGATAATAACTGTACCCTGCACAAACAAAGTGCCTAAGTGATGGAATTTTTTAGCTGGTATCAGTGAAAACAGAAATAAACCAAACCAAGAAGTAATAAGAATTCCTAAAAGAATCTACTCCAACCAGGATTCCATCTTGATGGTCAGATAAATTTTAGTCCATGCAGATTTTATGCAGTATGTCCCCTTCATATTTTGCCAAACTTGAAATTCTCATAGAGCAGTCCTGCCTCCCATATTTTTAATATTGACCTCACATACAAGTGGCTACTGAAGGAACATGTAGTGATCTTGTTGATTTTAGCTGCTGAATGATTCATAATTAATGTGTTTATTGACAATCAACTCAAGATGTCAAGGATTCATTCAGTTTTTATGGTTACACCCTTATATTTCCAAGGCTCAGGTCCTAGAGCATTCAGCAGCATCCATGAGTGCCTTGTGTGTCAAGAACTCAAATCTCTTGCCAGAAATACACAACAAGGGATAATTTCTGAGAAATAAACAGTCTGATTTCCTTGCCCAGCATCTCAAGAACTCCATAGGAATGACACAGGTAGAACCCAGCTTTCCAAGGCAGTGATGCAATGTCCCAAGATGCATGGGCACACCTGCAGTGGGGCAGTCCCTCATCTTGATTTTGCTTCAGCTCTTCCTCTTGGCTCTACTGCCCAGCTCCTCCCCTCCCAACAGGAGCCAGACTCTTTGCCAGTGCTATCCTACCCCTACCTCTTACCCAGTTCCACTACACTGTGGTTCAACTAGCACTTCTCCTCCCATTTTTCACAGCATCTCCCATGCCACCCCACCCAAGCCCCTGTCCCTCCACAGCTCACAGCACACTCCACACTCTGCCCCATAGCCCCTTTCACAGGGGGAACCGCCCCCCACCCGTTAACCAGATGCAATGCATCCTGCTTCTGCTGAACACGGCAGTTTGGGGTATAAGCCTTCCAATAAGCTCAAATGAAGCCTTTGGGAAATTCAACAGCTGACACAGAAGTCATCACCACTAAGCATATGTGAACTGTAATTCTTCACAGATGTACTGTTTTGCTAAATATGGGCAGCTTCCAAAGGAACAATTGAAGGCTAATCCATTCATAGCTTCAGGTAGCTTTTCCTCAGTTCTGTAGAGTCTAAGTTTGGGCTTTGTAGTTGTTCATTGGTGTTTTGTGGGGTTTTTTTTGGGTGGTTTCTTTTTTAATCAGGGAGATTATTGAATTGACTCATTCTTGGATGCGAATGTGCTCTTTTGGCTAAACGTCTTAAAAAAGAAATCAGCCTGAGACTATGCTTGGACAGTTCAGTCCAGGCAGTTACATTTTGTTAAAGTTACAGCAAGACAAAGCAGGGTATTATAATATGAAGTATGGGATGGACAAACTTAATAACCAAATTATCCTTCCTTCACTTATAAATGGATTGAAAAATAATTGTTAAAAGTTATGAAATAGGAGGTTACAGAAGGTACTAACTAGGAACTTTACCTGACAAGTTTCTTGCAAAACAACACTGTACCTACGTAACTCGGCAAAAACGTCATGAAGAACCACAGTTACCTGTTTTAAGTGACCCATGTTAGCCGTGTGCTTGCACTTTAGTTTCATCCCCACAATGTCATCTACAGCAAGTAGATATCTATACACTGATTTAATACCAAGACACATGGAACGAACCACGCAGTAAATCATTAACACGACTGCATCTGCTTCCCTTTGCAATCCTCCCCTGCAAGCAGTAAGACACTAACTTTCCCTTGAAATGCATGTGTAGCATGTTTAAACCCATAAAAATAAGATGTTAACAAGCTCTGGAAACACTAAAATACCAATTCTCTCTCCTGTTTAGTTTATAAAAGCCCTGGTGAAAAGTCAGAGCTACAGGCCAACTTCTGAACTTGAATAGGCAAGAAGTACAGCTCTGTTTACTCTTGGCTATTTCCAAGTAATCACAAAATAAGTGATAGCACCAGCATCTGATGAAGCAATCTTGTGGGGAAAAAAGCAATGGAGAAGTGCAAATGTCCAGTTCATTAAAGAGTAAACTACTGCAGTAATTACTAAGCGTACTGATAAGTTAAACAGAATCATTCTCTTTGGCGATTGGACAGGGTGAACTTGAGGTGTGAAGAACAGTTACAGTGGTTATTCTACTGTCTGTTTTTCATTATTCCAGAAATACAGACAACAACAAGCCTTGAACCCCTCTGTAGATGAGGTGTCAAGATCAGCAGTGAGCTTTGCAGCATTTTGGGTATAAATCCGGCTGACTTTCACCAGCCTTGACCACTAAGGCTTTCTGAGGCTACAGGAAAGACAGCTCCTTTCTTCAGAACTGGACATAATTCACACCAAGCATGCTTTCAAAATACTCGTTTCCAGAGAAAATAAAATAGCTTAGTGCCCACGAGTCAACCTGTGATGCAGCAGTTCTTAACCCAGAGGCTATTTTAGAGCCTAGAGGCTCTAAATCTAATTATGCATCCAAAGTAACCAGTGACCCGAAAAGCTATTACCCTTTCTCCTCATAGAAATGTCTTTCACTACAA